CCACCAAGTGCCTGATTGGCAACTTGTGTAGACCTTTTACTATGGTTTAACTGAGCCTCACCGCCAAATGGTGGATTCTTCATGTGGTGGGACATTCATGTCCAAAAGTGACGCCAAGGCATGGCAATTATTTGAGAACTTGAGTGATAATTCCCTTCACTATGCCTCCGCAGCCCCGCAAGTCCAGCAACCAGTAGTGGGATTGGGAGCCCCGAAAAAAGGGGGCATTTATAAGGTAGGGCCAAACCGAGAGTTAGCCTAACAGGTAGAGGCATTGTCCCATAAGATGGATCAATTGTTAGCTACAGGACATGCCCCTATACAGCAAAACCAACCTCAGTTTTACGAGGCATGTGCTATTTGTGCGAGCCTTACTCATGATTTGAGTGAGTGCCCTTCGGCATCACAATTTTCGGAGTTAGTCCAAGAGCATGTGAATGCGACTCAAGGATTCTCCAACCCCGGTAATGACCCATTTTCCAACACATATAACCCGGGATGGAGAAATCACCCAAATTTTTCATGGAGACCACCTACACAAGGCACTTCTTACAACCCTCCACCCCCAAGGTAGAATTTTAATAATTTTGCTAACCAAGTTTCTTACCGACCACCGCAACCCTACCGACCACCACAACCATATTGGCAACCACAACCCCCACTTGTTCATCAAGGCAACTCTGCTTTTGAGACTCAGGTGTTGGAAGTTCTCTCAGAACTTAAGGGGTTAGCACAGTAGTTCACTCCCATACTCATTCCATTGCCAAGCTAGAGGCCCAACTAGGTCAAATGGCTAACAACATGAATAAGAGAGAGGAGGGGAAACTACCGAGTCAGACTGTAGCCAACCCTAAGGGTCAATATGGGGCAGAGGGGTCGAGTGGAAATGGAAAGCACCACGAGCAGGTGCAAGCGGTTATTGCTTTGAGAAGTGGAAGGGAGTTAGAGTCTCGGCCAGTTGCGTCTGATACAACTAAGGTTAGGAAGGGTGACCATGGTGGTACACCCAATGAGAGCAATGGTAAGGGAGAAACACCTAAGAGGGATGACTTAGGTCCTAGCACTTCACATGAGCCAAAGGCACCATATATGCCTAAGGCACCATTTCTCCAATGCCTTAATATACCGTCCCCTTTCAATAAGAAGGCGGCATCTATGGAAGCGATAATGGAGGTGTTTAAACAAGTTAAAATTAACCTCCCCCTGTTGGAGGCGATTAAGTAAGTACCCTCCTATGCTAAATTTCTGAAGGACCTTTGCACGCAAAAGTGTAAATCTAGGACACACGTGTCCCAAAAGGTCTTACTCACGGAGCAAGTAAGCTCCATTCTATTGAGAGACACGCCCCCCAAACTTAAAGACCCGGGTGCCCCAACCATTGCATGCACTATAGGGGATCATTTCATTGATAGGGCCTTGTTAGATTTAGGGGCTAATGTCAATTTGTTGCCGTACTCTGTGTACGAGGAATTCGGGCTTAGTGAGTTGAAGCCCACTACCGTTACCCTCCAATTGGCTGACCGGTCCCTCAAAGTGCCACGTGGCATGATTGAGGATGTGCTAGTAAAGGTTGATAGGTTTTTTTTTCCCGTTGACTTTTTGGTTTTAGACATGGAATCGGTAGCCAATTTGAGGAAGCAAATCCCGGTGATCTTAGGTCGACCTTTCTTGGCTACGGCCAATGCATGCATTAATTGTCGCACCGGGGTTATGGAAGTTTCATTTGGGAATATGCAAGTGAAACTCAATATTTTCCAGGCATCCCAACAACCCCATGCGAGAGAGGAGTGCTTATTTGTGGATGTTGTAGATGAGATTGTGGAGGAGGCTTTACCCTCCATTCTGTAAGAGGACCCTCTAGAGGCTTTTTTAGCTCATTTTGGGTTCGAGGAGTTTGATATTGACGAGTCGATTGAGGAGGTGAATGCCTTGCTTAATTCTTCTTCTACATCGGATTTTCCTCCGTGGAAAGTCCGGTTTGAGTCCTTTCCTCCCCTGTCTAGGGAGCCTGCCAAGCCATCTCTAGTCACACTACCTACACTTGAGTTGAAGCCACTTCTGGCCACACTCAAGTATGCATTTTTAGGGCCTCAAGATACTTTACTAGTCATCATTGCATCAGACGTGACTGCTGAGCAGGAGAGTCAATTAATGAGTGTTCTTGTGACACATCGGAGTGCTATAGGGTGGTCAGTGGTTGATTTTCAAAGGATAGATCCCTCCGTGTGCGTGCATCATATAAATTTAGAGGAGGACGCCAAACCTTCTCGGGAAATGCAACGGAGGCTCAATCCCAATATGAAAGAGGTGGTGAAAAAGGAAGTGTTGAAATTGCTAGATGCGGGTATTATATACCCCATCTCGGATAGTAAGTGGGTGAGTCCCACCCAAGTGGTGCCAAAGAAATCAGGCATCACTATGGTTGGCATGTCTAAAAAATATGATAAAATATTCTAATTCCATACAATAGCATCATAATGTAGATTCACAATCAATACATGCTATGTCACATTTAATAACGAAATTAAAATAAAAAACAATTAATCATGTTATTCTAATTACAATATATTAGAAATTCTAGGAAAAAAACAACAATATGTTGTATTATATTCAAATTATGCCATAACAGAAAGTATATCACTTCTGGAATTTTCTAGAATTTTCTGGTATTTTCTGGAATTTTAAATAACTAATAAACACACATAAAATTAGAAATAAATATTTCAGAATCTGGTAAAATACAATAACCGTACCATTAAATAGTAAACTACAACAGTAGACTACAATAAAAAATTCAGCCCCAGAAACTTAATCATGTAACACCAGATGCATTTTAAAGCAGAAATAATGAATTATTATTTCAGGAAAAATGTTTTTTATTTTCATAAAATTTTGAAAATTTTCCAGAAGATAGACAATTTAATTATGAGTCTAACAGTACCAACCACGCTTAAAACAAAGCTATAACGAATTACTTATGACCATTTAACGCGACTCAGAATTTAAAACAAAACAAATAGCGCCTTAGTACCAGCAGCCAAGCCAGCCAAGCCGCAGAGGAAAAATGGCGCGGCTCAACACGCGGCTCAGCAGACGGCTTAGTGAGCGGCTCGGCGCACGGCGCAGCGCGCAGCTCAGCGCATGCGCAGCGCGGACGGCGCGCTCTTAAATCGCGGACAGCGCGCGCGTGGCAGCGCATGAGAGAGCATGGAGGCGCGTGGCAGCCACTGACGGCGTCAGATGGCGTGTGCAGCTCACGCGCCGCCTACCAGGGTGTTTTCTGGTCCAATTTTGGTACTGCCAGACTTCATTTTCCAAAATAAATAGATTTATGGCTTTAAAAAAAGACATTTAACGAACATAAAAATGAGGCATTTTACACTCTTAATCTAATGAGAGTGGAAGTGCAAAAACCCTGCACTTCATCTTCCTCCTTCATTAATTTTCATGCATATAATGCGTATATATTTATATAAAATTATACACCTATTTTAATGCATAAAAATAAGCACGAAAATACCCATATTGGCTTTGATACCAATGTAAAACATAAAGTATTATAACGCAGCGGGAAAAAACATTTAGATCATACCTTTAGGTGATAGAACCTCGTGGGTAAATCAAGTGCTTCCAGAAACCGAACAACCAACCCAGCTGTGGAGTGATACTACAAAATGAGTATCACCCACACAAGTCATAGTGCAAAATGGCTTTATCGTTGTTTAATGGGAGAGAGTCAGAGAGAGAGTCTGGGAAAAAAGTCTATGGGTAAAACACCCCATAACGTATCTGATATATGTATCTGATATATTAAATATATTATCTAAAATATATAATCAGATATATAACCAACAATATCTATCTATCCATCTATTCATATCTAATGATATGATAGATATAGATATCCTGAATGGTTATCCAAATAAGTTTTGAATTCAAATTCAAACTTACATAGATAAGGTTCAAAAGGTTCAGGTTCAAAAGGCTCAAAAAATCATGCCACATGGACGCCCAATTTCTAACATCACCAATATCTAATCATTTTCTTTTCATTTTCATAACCCGACCACAAAAAATAAATAAACACTACATTTTTATTTTCCTATTTTTTCCCACTCAAATCCAAAATCCAAACCAAACTAAACTTGAATCCATCCCCATAAGTTTAATTCACAGGTCCCCATATGTTTCAGTAAATGTGGGCATTTTAGTAATCTACTGCAAATACGATAAGAGTAAACATGTTTATTTTTAAAAGTTACAAACATGTTTAGTAAAACATTATACATATTTTATTTTATTTTATACATATACAAAAAGAAGTTCTAAACACCAAGCTGCCAACATGTACAGAAATTTTTAGGTAATGCAGCCCTACGTAATTTAGGTAATCATCAAACGGTACAAAAAGGCCAAATTAAAACCTTTTGAGAATGAGAGTAGCTGCCCAAAAATTTCTTTTCCATTTTAGTTTTCAGAACTATTTTACAAAGAGCAAGTCCTAAATTTGCTATAGTTTTCCCCTCCCGGGTACTAATTAAGATGACTGTTTCATGCAACATTAACATTCTAATAAAAATATATAAATAATCCCTCTTAATATCCAAGCTTTAAAGGTCAATAAGGAAAATGAGTGAGAGCACTAATTAGTGCTACCACTAATGATGTGGCAGTGGGTCCCACCATGAATGATTTGATGTTTTGGCCTTGGAGTTGCATTTTTTTTCTTTTTTTATTGAGTGCCATGTCTTTTGTGGTCCTTTTAAAGTTCCGAAATTAGTGGTCTCTATCATTGTTGAATGCATAGGAAAATGAGTGACAGCACTAATTAGTGCTATCACTAATGATGTGGCAGTGGTCCCCACCAGGAATGATTTGATGTTTTGGCCTTGGTGTTGTATTTTTTTCCTTTTTTTATTGAGTGCAATGTCATTAGTGGTCTTTTTAGAGTTCCAAAATTAATGGTCTCTATCATTGTTGACAAGCTTTCCGGCCAGCAAACAAAGAACTACGAACATGAAATCATTTTAAAGTAATATCTCTCAAAATTATCATACCCAACTAGTTTATTTACCTTGATTAATTACTAATTTCCAGCCTACAAAGCACTACTTCAATCTCGTCGATCCCATCCCACACCAAAGCTTGAAATGTTAGGATAGGACCATCAACAGCATCAGCATCCTTGACATCAAAGGTGATATAATATTGAAAGCCCTCACATGGTTCCAGGTTTGCCTTTACAAGTTTCACAAACTCTAGCTTTGTTTTCTACACACAGAATATGAACAAAAGAGGCTGATTAAGAACATTGTGTGTGTGTGTGTGTGATTTATAATTCAAAAAGGAGATTAAAGAAACCAAAAAAAAAAACTAAATAAAGTTAAATTAAAAAGGAAACACCTCTTTCTCATTGTATTCCTTGAGCGCTAATTCAGAAAGAGATTTGAGGTGGTTAGCATGATAATTGAGGTTTATAATAGGCATAATTTTACCACATGCGAAGGACTTTGGAAAGTCCATGACATCAAAGCCCTGTAAGTGTAAGCTCACAATTAGGATAATATAAACAAATGTGTAGATATATGATTACAAAGAAAATTAAGATAATGAATCATGAATAAAGTAATTAAAAAGAAGCATACGTACTACCTTACTTTCCTTTATCTGCCTAGAATACTCCTTATATTCCTTGTCAGTCATCTCATGCATTCCAAACTCATCCACATCTTCATATAATCATCAAACGGTACAAAAGGCCAAATTAAAACCTTTTGAGAATGAGAGTAGCTGCCCAAAAATTTCTTTTCCATTTAGTTTTCAGAACTATTTTACAAAGAGCAAGTCTTAAATTTGCTATAGTTTTCCCCTCCCGGGTACTAATTAAGATGAATGTTTCATGCAACATTAACATTCTAATAAAAATATATAAATAATCCCTCTTAATATCCAAGCTTTAAAGGTCAATAAAGAGTATTCCGCCTCTAGCAGGAACAACCCTACCACCACTTCAAATATGAATTTCACATTCTAGATTCGTTTAATTCAAAGTAATGCACCCTTCATCTCTCAGACAGACTCCATGAGCATATTACCTTCACAAAATCCTCACACCCCTGCAAGTAACCAAACTACGTGATCAAAAAACAAAAATAGAATGCATAATTAGAAGGCTCTAGGTCTATGTATGTCAATCAGGCTACTATCTCGTAATGCATAATCAGACATACTTCAAATATAAGGAAAGAAAACCACTATTAAATAAATTAAAAACACAGGCCTAATAGAATGAAATCAAATGATTTATTACATAGGCCATAAACAACAATCTTGAAAACTATCAAACTGAACTGAACGGTAAACCTTTTGACTGACGATAACATAAGGTACACCAAGATTGACTCACTAGCTAGTGGGTACAAACAAAACACCAAGTCACCAACTAAAGATAACATTAGCAAGTTACAGAAACAAATGTATTTAAAAACTAGGGTAATTTACCTAATGTTGGTGTACCAACTGTGGCAATGCACCCCTCTTCCTCCTTCACAACAGCAACATAGCCCTCTTCCCCATAGCTAAATCCTGTTCCTCCCTCCTGGCAGCGACACACCCCTTTCCCTCTCTTCAAACACCAACCCACTCTCTTCACAGCCTCCTATTCCTCCCTTACAGTGCTAATGCACCCCTCTTATCCACAGTCCAACGCTGACCCACCCTCTTACCTCACATCCAAACCCCTGTTCCTCCTACCCAGTGCTGAGCCAAAATAAAAATCAACCATGAAAAAACTCAGAATTAGCCATCACAACATTCAAAATCAAAACCTCTCGGTGGCTACTGTTGAGGATTTGGTGGATGACAAGGATGACAATCTTCTAACTGGCGATGGCGATTTCATTTCATTTTTTGATTTGGTGACCATTGGTGGGGAGTTTAGTATAACTATAAAGATTGGAACTGAGGAAGAGGAAGAGGAAGAGAGGTGAGCTAATAATTGCTCTAATTAAGGTTTGTGAGTGATTAACTTTTTATAACTCTGAGTTATATGTATTTTATATATAATTTTGTGTATCAATAAAATGACTAAATAGCATATCACATAAATTTTCCTCGCGTCACGGTCTATTAGTCAGAAGACCAACAGTCAATTGACAGAAATTGGTGTAATTGAAAATATGAAACGCGATACTATAAGGGTGCCCGTGTAATTATGCTAAAATTGTGGGTCTGAGTGTAAGTTCACCAAAACCTCAATTTACCCTTAAAACTGAGTAAACATTTTTCAATTAAGAAAATTCATATCCAGAAAACAATGTGAATGTTTTGTGTTGAAGATAAGTACACAATAGTTCCTCTCCACTATTAATGTGTGTATGCATAGAGAGAGACATTGTCACGACCCGAACCTGCCCCTATAGGTTTAGGCCATACCCGGCCAGTAATCACGAGATTACCTATGGCCTCAAATCAAACTAAACATAACTCAACAGAGAAAAAGGGGCCAAACGGAAGCCAAATTTAAAACTTTGTCCATAGAGCTATGCTTACATGGCGCATTAAAATAAACCATACATATGTACATTGATAACTCACAACAAAAATACAGCACCATAAAGTTCTGTATAGACAGGATCATCCAAAACTAAGTCGCCCATGAAAACTATATATAGACATATACAAAGACTTCGCCGACAAGACAACATGGAACAAATGACAAAAAGATGAAGGCAAGTCTCGTGCATGAGACACATGGGTTGACTCTCCAAAACCCGGTTGTTCCATACAGACTTCACTGGGGCTGGGTCTGGACCTCTCTTGGCTCACCTACAAACACATGAATGAGCGTGAGCGAAAGCCAAGTGAATAACATCAAATAAAGAAAATGCATTGGAACATTATACATCGGACGGCTTTAGGCCCAATTCATTCATGTCAAACTGGCCTTTGGCCTTTTCAAACTTTCATATCAAATTGGCCTTTTAGGGCCTTTCAAACCTTCATATCAAACTGGCCTTTTTGGCCTTTCAAACTTCCATGTCAAACTGGCCTTTTAGGCCTTTCAAACATCCATATTAAACTGGCCTTTTTGGCCTTTCAAACTTCCATATCAAACTGGCCTTTTAGGCCTTTCAAACTGGCCTTTCAAACTTCCATATCAAACTGGCCTTTTAGGCCTTTCAAACTGGCCTTTCAAACTTCCATATCAAACTAGCCTTTTTGGCCTTTGAAACTTGCATATCAAACTGGCCTTTTAGACCTTTCAAACTTCCATATCAAACTAGCCTTTTTGGCCTTTCAAACTTCCATATCAAACTTTCTCCACCATTCAAATTAATGAACTTTACAAAACTTATATAGAAGTAAGCAATTGGACAACAACATATTTCGGATATTACTCACAGTGATCGGCTTGTGGATTTGCCCTGGAGCTTGACCCTACATATCACATAACACATATGGGTTACAAATAATTCAATCCGTTCTTTAATTCACATATTCCTCTTTAGTCTTCATTCTTATCTCTTTAATTTAATTACAATGCTCAATGTATGCCTAAGAGTGCTTAGAAGTGAAAGGGAACGGAAAACATAATACAGAATGCATTTCCAAAATTTCAGAAAACAGGGTCCCCGCTCGAGCGGACCCTTAAGGCCTACAAAAGTACTGGTTATGTCATTTTTACGCTCGAGCGTGAATTTTGGCGCTCGAGCAGAAGGCCTCTCTACATGGCTCCTCGCTCGAGCGTGAACTTCCCCGCTCGAGCAAGAGTCATGTCTGCAAAAAAATGCTGGGAGCTCGTTTTTAACGCTCGAACGGCGGTTTCCCTGCTCGAGCGGACACCAAAATTCTGGAAAACTCAGAATTGTTCTTTGAGCTCAAATTCGACATTCCAATCACCATTCATGCATATAATAGCTCAAACTTCAAACATACTTGTGCTAGCATGGTACCAACATCAAATTACAACACAATGAAGCTCAATTTCTTGAATTACTTACATGCATGCCTCAAATTAACCCAAACTCATCACCAACACATCAAATTCAAACATGCAAACATGCAAAGCTCACACCTCCATGATCTACACTCGCGTGTGAGAAATATTCATTATTCTCACCTTATTTGGTGAAGAGATGGTCAAATACATGGATTTCAAACAAGATTCAACATGGATTATACACATTGTGTTCAAATATGGAAATTCATAGCAACTTACTACATGCATGTGTTCTAAGACTTCAAATTCAACAAAACCAACTCATTTCATGCTCTTTATCATCATTCAACTTTGAATTTACAATTTACAAACAAAGTTCATGAATCAAGGGTGGGTTACTCACCTAGGAGCCTTAATTCTCACAAATTATGGTTGATTCTTGAGTGTAGCTCCAAGATCACCAAGTTTCCTAGCAAAATCTCTATTTTGAGCTCCTTCCCTCTCTAGGTTCGGCTCCCCCCCCCCCCCTCTCTCTCTCTTTAGAGCACAATATCAGATTTTTGAACTCAAGTATAAGGATTAAGTGCATAGTGCCCTTCCTACATAAGTTTCCACTAGTCCCAATTTTTAATATTAAATAATTTGAGCATTACACCACTAATTAAATCAATTTAATCCGATCCGAATCAATTCCAATTAAATTTCACCATAGGCTCTAAAAAAATTATGCCAATCACAATGGCATGATCAATTTCAGGTTCTGTGGCCGATAAGGCCTTCAATTTAATTTCCAAAGCAAATAACCAAACAGATATTCCTACGGTGAACAGATAGAAATTCAAAACCACATATTTTCACATAAATGGTACACAAAATCATATCAAACATATAATCATGTTTATATTAAGGACCAATTAGCATAATGAGGGATAGGGTTATCACAGTCTTCCTCCCTTTAGGAAGTTTGGTCCTTCATACTTATTTTACCTTCGTCGGGAAACAAATGTGGATAGCGTAGTCGCATTTCATCCTCTTTTTCCCACGTGGCATCTTTCCCATAGTGTTCTTTCCATTCCACTTTCACCATTGGAATGGACTTGCTTCTCAGTTGTCTCACTTGTCGATCAACAATCTGTTCTGGCCATTCGGCATATTCCATATTTTCATCAATAGCTACCCGGTGATAATCAATCATATGAAACGGGTCTCGGAGATAACCTCTCAACATCGACACATGAAACACGTTATGGATTTGTTCGAATCCTGGTGGAAAAAAAACTCTATAAGCAACTGGACCAAGCCTTTTCAAAATCTGAAATGGCCCAATGTAACGGGGCGATAACTTGCCCTTTCTACCAAACCTGACTTGGCCTTTCATTGGAGACACACGAATGAACACATGGCCACCAACCTCATACTCAAGAGGTCTTCTTCGAACGTCTGCATAGTTTTTTTGTCGGTCTTGAGCTGTTTTGAGCCTTTGCCGAATAGTTTTGATTTTCTCAGAAGTGTCTTGCACAATTTCAGGCCCAAGTAAAGTTCTATCCCCGACTTCTGTCCAATAAATTGGTGATCTACACCTTCTACCATACAAAGCCTCGTATGGTGCCATACCGATGTTGGAGTGGAAGCTATTATTATAAGCAAATTCTGCAAGTGGCAAATAGTCTTCCCAACTCCCCTGAAAATCCAAAGCACACATCCGAAGCATATCTTCCAAAGTTTGAATCGTTCGTTCTGATTGCCCATCTGTCTGTGAGTGAAATGCAGTACTGAACCTTAGTTCTGTTCCCAT